GGGGGATTTTGATGTAGACTATATTTTTCACAACTCGTTCTTGTCTTTTCTTGCTTCCAGATGTTGTGAAATGACGTAACAGTCTTCAAGTTCACGCAGGCCCTTATATTTTGCAAGACATTTCCCTGTTGACTACGAAAGGCGGCGGTGCGTAATGTGTTGCCGTTGATGGATATAAAGTTCCTCAAGTTGGAATGATTCACACCCATCTTACAGTCTGCCACGAAAACCGCCAGTGTATCGTGTTTCTCTCAAGTGTTGTAAAAACTTCAGACTAAAACCGTGATAATATAAAACATTAGTTATTTTATTTCCAACAATATTTTCATTAGTGTTGTGTTGCCAGTCTTGGAGTACACTTTCACTTCTGACACACGATGGAAGGGTTCCGGAAACTCATGGCTAAGGCCGGCTCCATGTCGGACAAGAAAAGTGAGAGCAGCGCGGACAACTCCACCAACGCCAAAATGAAGCTAGGACGCTTCCGGCTGAAAATGCGCATGCTCTCAAATCTGGGCGGATCCCGTGCGCTTCAGAGCCAGCAGACGATCGTCACGTACGAGCCTACGTACAAACTAGAGCCCGAGAACGACAAAAAATTCTCCACACAAAAAGCAGAAGCGGTATGTTTAGTGGTAGAAAAGTACTTTCCAAATTATTTCTTCGTTCTTCATGTCATGTACCATCCTCAATCCCGGTGTTCAAAATATGATCATCCTGGAACGTATTTAATTTCTGATTAATGTCCAGCGTCTGTGGTGAAGTGATTAAACGCCTTGTCGTCGCACGCGCAAAACCTGAGTTCCATTCCCTTGTAAGAACAATTTCTATCGAGTATCTCGAGGCTTTTTATCTGGGACACTGTATCCCTTCCAGCCCGGATTAGCTGTGACAGGCAGGGTGAAGCCCGTCTCCTATATGGTCTAAACTGTGTCAAATTGAGCATAAAATCACGTACGTTAAATTTCTAAAAAGATTTCTGGTACTTGTATCCATTTTTGTTTTTTTTCCACCTCCCACGCATCCTTCTAACCTACCCTAATGAGAGGCCAGACCTTAGTTTGCTCTTTCGAAATGGTTCAAGATAGGTCCAGGGGCTAGTGTCGCAACTTCCTGCACGGGAAACAGCCATCTCCAGAACTTGTGGATCAGTCACGTATACCCCTGAAAAAAAATTAATTCAATCAATCAATCAGTCAATCAAGAAATAAATAAAAGCGTAGTTATGACGGTCTTTTCTTTCGGGTTGAAAGTCACTGAAATTAAATAATGAATTGAAAACCTCATGAAACACAATGAAGGACCACGGAGCACTTTATTTCTCATTGATTTCTGAGGGGAAAATGCAAGTTTTCAGTGGTTATAGATATTTATTTCAAAAGGTAGTTCCGATGCTAACTTATGTCAGTGTCACATAATACACAACATCTGAATGGTTGGTTGGCGGGTGCTCAGGTGTGGTTTGCTCTTACTAAACAAAAAAACATCGAAACAGGTTCACAAAGACACCATTGTAGTGGTCGCCGCTGGATAGCCCTTTATTTTTTTTTTAAATCTCGTTTTCGTATCGTGTGGGTTTGTATGTATGTGTGTGTATGTGCGCGCGCGCGCGCGCGCGCGCGTGTGTGTGTGTGTGTGTGTGTGTGTGTGTGTGTGTGTGTGTGCGTGCGTGTGTTTGTGTGTGTATATGTGTGCTTGTGTGTGTATGTGTGTGAATGTAATTATTTGGGTGCGATAGAGTGTGTGTTTGCTAGCGAGGTTGGCGG